AGTAATAATGATGGAATTAGAAAGGAATACTGTAATTCCATTGCATAAACTAAGAAAGATAACTGTATTACCCAGAAAGAAATAGTCATTATAACTAAATCAGAACAGTACCTTTGGTGCTGCTACTACCAGGTAAGAGTGAAAAGATACTATTTTGAAATCATTCTGTAAATGAAAAGGTCTGTCGTTTCCATTCATTCCATTCATTGTAATTTTCCCCTGACATAACAGTTCTCACATATCATTTTCCCATTTTTAGATTTTTACTTTTTAACATGCAGAATTTTCTGTGAGAGAAAATGAAGTCCTCTAATGAGGCCAGGTTTGGGGGGCTGCAATTCAGACTTGCCTGTGATAACTGACCTTAACTGAAAAGTCCTTCTCAGTCCACTCCAAGGGCAAGTTGCTCAATTAATGGTTTCAGTATTCAGTTGGGTCAGTTGGATTGAGTCTATGAAATGAGAACTTATAAGACAGTATAATGTCTTTAGGTTTATAGTACAGTTTACTGAAATGACTCCTATTTCCCAACATCATGAAGCTTTCTTGCCACATGCTTTTTTGTTTGTTGAAATTAAACTTTATATACTCCTGTTCTGTTATGGTGAATTTTTGATGATGTTGATAATGTTAAGAGCTTATATATATTGATGATTTACTGTGTGCCAGGCACTAAATGCTTCACAAAAGTTACCAAATTTAAATAGGTCTTAAATATGTAGATTTTTATCTTTTAGATAAATGTGCCATAGTAAAGTTCTGCTTCTTTTCAAATTCAGATGACAAGTTGAAGTAGATGAATTAGGTTGATTGTTGACATCCACCCTCTCTACTACCTATCTGCTATTCTGTGGTTTTAGGAAAAAGAAAGAGAGGGAAAAAGATGATTGGATAATCCTAAGCAGTTCAAGCAGAAAGAGAAGGAAAAGATAAAAGCTGTTGAAAGCAAAGTTTGAATACCTTTTTTTCCCTACTACTAATTCAGCTAACTTTTAAAGGGTTCCAAGTAAATAGATGACTGAATAAGTACTAATAATAGTGCCTAACATTTATTGAGCATCTGCTCTGTGTCAAGCACTGTGCTAACTGATCTATATCCCCTCTTGGAAGGATTTCATGCTTTGTAAAGGAGGTCATAATCAGATTTCTTAACTATTAGCTTCCCTATGTTCATTTAAAATATTCTCCTAGTTGCAGAAAAATTAATTCCATTACTGTTTTAGAAGAGCAGTTCTGTCAGTCCAAGATTCTAATCTTGACGCACTGGAGCTATACCCATAACAAACCACTATGGACAGGTAATAGATCTTTTCTTGAAGCTTTCCTGATCAACCCACATCTCTGGTGGCCTTTTCCTTTTCCTAAGTGTCTGTAGAACAAAATTTTGCATTTAATTTTATGATACCTCACGTCTAGTATTCTAGTTAAAGCTTTATCTTTGTCTCAATATATTCTAAACTCTGAGTTTTTATCTATTTTTTTGTTTATTTTTTTATATTATATGTTATATTAATAATATTATCTATTATTTTTTATCTATTTCTTTTATGTTCCTACATGTCTGAGCATAGTACTAATTATACATTCTGTGCTTAAAAAAATAATTCTGAAATAAATGAGTTAATGAGTAAATGAACAGACTTTAAGTTGATACTGTTCACTTAATGATTCTGAAGAGCTATGTATGATAAATGTGCTGTATAAAGTCAGAAAGTTTTCAAGACAGTTTTTTGTTGTTGTTTTTTTTTTTTTTTTTTTTAAATCTAAAGCAGTCATTCTCAAACTTTTTGATCTCAGAATCCCTTTACACTTAAAAATTATTGAGTACCCCAATGATCTTTTGCTGGTGTGGGTTATATACCAGTGGTACTTACTGTATTAGAAACTAGGGCCAGCCCGGTGGCGCACTGCTACAGTGTGCCGCTTGGGAGTGTGGCGGCGCTCCCGCCGAGGGTTCGGATCCCACATACAGACCGGTTCCCGCTTGCTGGCTGAGCGAGGTGTGGGCGCGACACTGAGGGTTGCGATCCGTTGCCAGTCATGAAAAAAGACAAAAAGGAAAAAAAAAAAAAAGAAACTAAAACGTAGACATTTTAAAATGTAAGGACATAAGCACGTATTCTACCAGCTGTCAGAGCACTAACATCCACCCATGTCATGGAGCCTCTGGAAAACTCTATGGTACACTTGTGAGAGAATGAGAGTGAAAAGGGCAAATAGTGTCTTCGTATTATTATGAAAATTGCTTTGAGCTCACTGGCCCCCTTAAAGGCTTTTGGAGAATTGATAATCTAAAGTATTCTACTGGATTACTAAATCAGGCTGTATTAAGGGTAGTCTTTAATCTTAAGATTAAAACCATGTTTTTTACTTTTATGTTTAGCCATTAGTATTGTGAATGTTGTAAATGGTTCTAATCACATAGCAAGTACAAAATCAATTTTAAATTCATATTAAATAATAATTTGGGGGTGAAATTATCTTTGTTTAAAAAAAACCAACAATATTTGGAAACTGTGTTTATTATACATTTAAAGTCACGTTCTCTTACATTGCAGCTCCTCAGTTTGAAACTACATGTAATTATGTAGAAGCTACACTTGAAGAGTTCCTAACATGGAACTGTGACCAGTCTAATATTTCTGGACCATTTAGAGATTATGATCATTCCAAATTCTGGGCTTATGCTGACTATAAATATTTTGTCAATCTGTTTGAAGACAAGACAGATGTTTTCCAGGTAAGTCAATACATTCCTTTTAATCTTAGTAAGAATTGTTCTTG